GTGACCATGACATGAATATTATGACTCAAAACGCTTTACATCATTATTTGCGCTAGTAAAAAGTAAACAACCTAGATGCAGAACAGTTATTGTAGGCTAAAAATTTGAAATTAAACATTATATCCCCATGTGACTCATCAGCTTCACAGCGAGGAAACAACTTGTTCAAAAAGAAAAGAAAAAGAGGAAACTGCACCTCGACAAGTGCACATTATCCTGGAGATTTCATGGACTCATATGAAGACGAGGACATAAAGGCAGCTTCTGCCTCTTTGTGACAACGAAAAACCTATGGTTTGCCATCAACCATCACATAGAGTGCATAGATAGCGGAGATACATTTTTAAGTCAAGTTCACAGAGCTTCTTCTTCAGTGTCGCAACAGTGGCGTCTCTTCATCAGCTCCTTCTTTTCTTTGGCAAGGTCGTAAGATCTTTACTTTGTCATGGAAGTTAAGGAGTTTGATCCGGATGGGCTAGGGCTTGGCTCTGTCATTCGCCAGGTGGTAGGTATCCTTACGATAATGAGAGGCTTAGGAAAGCTCTCTTGCCCCAGGAGCTCAGGGATCAGCTGAGACATGAAGTCGATGACATTGTTGCCTTCCACCGACTCAGGGACCTTTATCCCAAACACATTGTAGGGAGACTGTAGGAATTTCCATTGTACTGAGCTCAGGTTCAGCCATTGTCCATGCCCAGCATGTGTTTTAGGATAATATCAGATTTTTTCAAAATACTTTTTGAAACAATACATTTTCTACTAAAGTCACTGAAGTTGTACAATCCTAAATCTAGGTCAGGATCAAAATAAAAAGGCTATATGGCTGCTAAATCTTCATAACAGACATGAGTGTCTGGTGCGCTAAATCCACGACAATGATGACGTTTTTAAAGAGTTAGTAGAATCTTCTGAAACTTGAATCTGGTGAACAGACTAACTACAGAAAACTTGAATGTAAAACATGACATTTCCTGTAACAGCTAGGGGGAGCTATGATTATTATTGAATATTATCATATGGATCTGTTCAGGGCGGGACCTTTGTTGCACATATTTGGTTTGAGGCAGATTGAACAATATTGATTGAAAACTTGATCAAAGGAACTCTAACATGACATGAAACAAATGTGAAGTAGATCTCATGAAATCTGTAGAAGTATGAATTTGTAGCAGGTGTCAAAATGCCAAAAATCACAGCAAATTTAATTTTCAATCCAAAATGGCTGACTTTCTGTTCGGTGTGACAAAGAGTGTCAAGAGGATTTTATGTGTCTGGGCATGATTCACTTGGAAGTAATTGAATAGGAAGACCATTGAAAATTTGTAGGAGGCGCTATCGAACCATTTTTGGTGGAACCACATTATAATATTAACCTGATGCACCTGCACAATTTGGTATAAGAGAAACCTGTACCAAGGAAAGGATACTGCCACCTCCCATTCTTCGTGTCTGCTTTTGGGTCCAGCCAAAATACAAAACTTCAACAGTTTTATTCATTTGATATTTGTGTGGTGGTGTTCATGTCCATGAACTGTCTTTGACATGTGTGTCATACAGTGAAAATTTAGACTGGACACATTTGGACTGTAAATATGGTTCAATTATTGTTTTGTACTTTTTGTTCTACTTATGTGACCTTTGACCCCTTTAATCAATGTTTGCAAAAGGGCATTTCACACAGGTGCATTAGAGATTCATACTGAGGGAATCATAAATTATACAATGTGTAACTTAGATGTTTTACTTTTTTAGCACAGTTATATCAATCGAGCTTTGGGAATTTGATATTTTTATGTGATTTTGAATCCAGCCCTTAATGATTTTGGTTTGCAATGACCACTGTTACGTTATTTTCTTATCAATGAATTACACAATGTATATCAATACAAATTTTAACTTGAAAAAATGTCATTCATTGAGATCAGATGTGTGATTTAAGCTCTTAACAGTACAGTTTTTGCCATTCACCCATTTATACTGGGGTTGGACTGATGATGGCTGACAGCCATCACTATTTTGAGCCAATATTGCTCGACACTGACAGAGGGTTGCAGCCTGCCAAGCACAGACTAAAATGTCACTTTTTACTACAACGTAGAAAAATACAGTGAAAACTAGATATAGTGATCACGGATATAGTGATTAACCATTTACATGGATCAAAAAACTTGATATAGTGATCACGAATATAGTGATTAACCATTTACATGGATCAAACTTGTGACAGAATCATTACTAGACAAATGCTGTTTAAACTGTTGGGTTATAGTAAACAAGTAGGGGTCTTTTGGGTCTTTTCATACATTTTTTAAGGTTAAAAATAATATTTTATAACAGTTTTTAGCGGCTCTGTCTGTAATATACTGCTCCTCTCTGTGTCTATCACTATCACTCACACTGTGCACTGTCAGGTGAATCGAACTAGACCACCCTGCATCCCCTCCGGCTTTCCATAAATTAAGTTGTTTTTAAAGTCTGAGTTTACAAATGTGTCCAATGGCAGTGTTTGTGTGTGTGACTGCATGTGTCTGCCTGTGTCTGCGTGTCAGCTTGAGAGAGAGAGGAAGAGAGCAAGGGGAGTCAGGACGGGCTGAATTAATGAACAAATGTATACAGCTATAAAGAAAGATTTTAAAAATTCCTCCATGAAACAGGACACATTTAAAATTAGATAGAGTTACTGAAATAACTTGTTATCTTGCTTTGTTAAAAACACCCCTTAGGTCATGGACCATAACAAGAAAAAATGGATATTAGGTTAATGAAAGGAAAACATCAGTCTCTATTTTCCTATCTCTTTTTGGTAAAAACCAATGAAGAGCTGATTGAATGATTAAAAATATTTTTGTGGTCAGACTTTGGGCAGGGTTAAAGAAAAAGGTAGTTCTTTCTTAAGAATTTGCTGGAGGAAGATTGAGACTGTCCCTGATTGCTAGATTTGGAGCTTCTTCGAAAACTTAAGGAAGTAATACTTCCACTCGAAGACAATAAAATGTTGCAACATTTACAATATTACCAAAGTTTATAGCAGTGTTAATCCTCTTCAGTTACTGTCATATTTCAGAAAATGATGATCAGATTTTGGATACTATCACCATGTGTTCTTAAAAAGCATTTTGATGTATTTGTGAGAATGTGTGTCTTACTTGAGGAGGTTGCCCAGGTTAAAGAGAGCTCTGTTATGTTGAGGGTTGGTGTCCAATGCTTTCCTATAGAAGTGCTCAGCCTCCTCTGGGCAGCGTGTCAGAGTGCCAAGATTGTTCATGGCACTAGCATGACGAGGATATAACCTAAGAGGAAATGACAGAAGTGAGACAAGAGGAAAAATGGGAGAGGAGAGTAAAAAATATTTGACACTTTCTTTTTCAATGGAAAAAAAGAGCCACAGCTAAATAACCAGTATGTGAACAATTTGTGACTAAACTGCCGGAACTGAGCATAGCTGAAAACTCTTTTCATCTTAGTAGCCTCTGATGGCTCAACACTTCCACATGGAGGCATATTATAACACAATCTTGATTGAACTATGCATTGTCACAGTTATAAGGATAATCTTCGGAGCAGATAAATCAGCAGAGTGTTGGGAATTACATTTACTGCTACTCTCCCTCAATCCTACACAACACTTCTGTGTAATTGTAATAAACTCTTAAAGTCAGTGCCCTTATTGATAATACAAGCTTGCCAAGCTGCCCAGGGCAGGAGGGAGGTGCCTGCCATGTCAGTGTTTCTACTGCACTGCATGTGACATTTTACAGCGAAGCAAACAACTGCTAGCAATCCGAAAAAAAATGTGTCTGTATGTAATACCCACATCGTCTGGGCATGCTCCTGATGAGTCATCGCATGGTGTCCTAGGAGATTATATTACATTACATTTCATTTAGCTGATGCTTTTATCCAAAGCGACTTATAATTAGTGCATTGATACATAATGTCCCAGAAGTTCTCAATCGGATTCTGGCCTGAAGAATGTGAGGGTAAGTCAATGGCATCAATGCATTTCCTCCAGGAACTGCCTACACACTCTGGCCACATGATGCCAGGCAAAGTCCTGCACCAGAAGGACCCCGGGGCCCACTGCACCAGCGTAAGGTCTGACAATCACTGGGGATTTCACCCTGGTAACAGCAGTCAGGGAACCATTGGCTATGTCATTGAGGTCTGTGTGACCATCCAAGGATATGCTTCCCCAAACCATCACTAAACTACCACCAACCCGAACAGGGACATGAGAGGAGAGGATGGAAGGACAAAGCCTCCTGGGACAGGCCCTCCAGCACCTGGCAGCGAGGCAGGAGAGCAGCAATGCAGGAGAGCAGCAATGCAGGAGAGCATCGCTGCTCTGCAACAAAACCAGACACAGGCCCTCAGGACCGGGCTCTCCTGCGGGAGCTGATGCAGCGTCTGGCCACCCCGCCGCCCGAGTCAGGGATAAGCTCCAGCTGGCCGCCACCGGTGGCCCTCCAAAGAATGACCCTGGAAGACGACAAGGAGGCATACTTGGACATCTTCGAGGGCGCGGCGGAGGCCTGCGGGTAGCCACAGGAAGAGAGGGCTGTGCGCTTGCTAACGCTGCTCACCGGTGGAGCGCAGCTGGCTGCCAACAGTCTGCCGGATTCCTCTCAGCAAGACTACCAACGACTGAGGAGGGCAATCCTGGACCGGCTGGGTTGCACGCCAGAGGGACACTGTTTGTCTGTTATGACGACCATCTCTCGCCGAGCCCGAAAGCAGAGGTTGCTTTGTTGCAGTGGCAGTTTGCTGATGTGTTCTCCCACTTGCCAGGACATTCTACGCTCATACACCACCACATAGAGACCACCCCGGGCAGGACGGTGCGTTCATCGTGTGCCGGAACATAAGCAAAAAATTGTGCAGACGGAGCTTCAGGCCATGCTAGAGATGGGGGTAATAGAAGAGTCCCAGAGTGACTGGTGTTGCCCCGTTGTGCTTGCGCGCAAGGCCAATGGGTCAACACGGTTCTGTGTAGATTAGTGTAGGGTGAATGCCTATCCAATGCCCCGGGTTGACGAACTCCTGGACCGGCTAGGCACGGCTCGCTTTTTCACGACACCAGATTTGACTAAGGGCTACTGGCAGATTCCATTGTCTCCAGAGTCCAAGGAAAAAGCGGCCTTCTTCACTCCGTACGGTTTGTACCAGTTTGTCACACTTCCGTTTGGGTTGTTCGGGCCCCCGCCACGTTTCAACGCCTCATGGACCGGGTTCTGCAGCCACACTTTGCATATGCTGCAGCCTACTTAGATGGGGCCCAAACATTAGGACACTGTCAAACAAATATGAAGACATCCAAGCCAGTGATCTAGATGAAAAATGTAATTGAGACAGTTTTGAAACAAGAATATTGTGATTTACTGTATCAAATAATGTAAGTCTACAAATACAGCACCAAATACGGCTTTTACTAACCCTAATTACTTGAACGGAGTTGGAAGGCGACCCTCAAAGTATGAAAACAGTCACTCTGCGGACTTTGTCACTCTGTCCAAACGACTTGTTTCCTACTTCAGAGGTAGGATGACGTCAGCTACTCCTGCACTCTTCTCTCAGCCCAACCCAGCCGCTACTAATCCAGCCTCTGAACCCACCAATCCTCCACACCACCCCTCCTCCCCGACCACGACACCAAGCAGACATGTTGCTGAGCTAGCAGTTTGTTAGCTACCACAGGCTAACCACAACAAACAACACTGAAGAAACACTGGTGTGGAGGGATGCAAGGAAGAGAATGTATCTGTGCACATTCCTCCTAAGAACGTTACAATTCGAAACCAGCGGTTATGCTTTATTTTATCTGACGTGCCAGATCATTTCAGGAAGAGTGTGTCGGTGTGTGCTCGGCTCATTTTACCACAGACTCTGAACCTACAACACCCCCACACTGCACACCCTGGTTCAAGATCATCAACCTCTAACTAAATTAATTAATGATGTGTTGTATTTCACAAAGAAGGAAGCAGTGGACTAGCAACTCTTTACTCGTGCATTGCTAATGGTTAGCAATGTTAGCATACAGAGCAACCCCACTCTGAACATGTTGTGAACCTCAGAAATCTCTGCTCTACAATAAAATCATACTGAGCAAGCAGCTGAAGAAGAGCAAAAATATAATAAAATGATATTACACCTGAGGGCAGTGGTGTAGTGGTGAATGGCCTCTTCGTGTCGGCCACTGTCTTTCAGGAAGTTGGCGTAGTTGTAGTGGGTTTTGGCATTGTGAGGCAGAGTCTGGATACCAGACCTGAAACAAGGAGGAAGAGAAGGAAGAAAAGAGGAGGAAGCATGATGTTGATCTGAAGAAAGACAAAAAAGGTGCTCAGCAAATCCCTGTTGGAACAAAACACCTTGCAAGGAAAGGAAAAATGTAGCTCCATTTGGACTAGATTTATTATTTTATGGGATGTGAAATGATTTTGATATTACTTGCAGAGATCAGTGCTTTTAATCCTGTCTGACATGTAGGTATGTATCGTGACTTCAGAAAGTATTCAGACTCATCACCATTTAATTCTGCACCACAATACTGTCATTGTGTAATAATTAAATTTTAAATTATTAAATATGTTCCTCATAATTCAAACATAACATTTCTTGATAACAAAAGGCAATCAGAAATAACAACGTAAAAAAAAAATATTGCAATTTTATAAAATATCAAAAACTAAACATTTGGGTAGTTTATCCCATTCTTCCTGGGAGATACTCTCAAGCCCCATCTTACTGGATGGGATGTATCTGTTCACTGCTATCTTCAAGTTTCTCTTCAGATGTATTACCTCCAACTATTTCCCATGGCAAGAAATGGGCCATATTAAAAGCAAGTCATAAAAACTCTATGACACATTCAAGACAAGAGCTGTGGCACTTGCTCAAAAAAGGGAAACAAGGACTGGAGCCAGAACAGGTGTCTGGTGGCTTGTCCTTAACCAATTGCACCCTGTAAGGGTCAGGATTAAAAAGCTTTCTGGAGGTTGAGGGAGGTCGGGTACATGGAGTCCATCCCCCCAGACTGTCTGAGAGGAGACCTGCTGATCTGAGAATATTGGCACCCCATCCTACACAGTCTCTGAGGCAATTAAGAAGCCACTCAGCTACAAGAAGCCATGTTAACAAGATTTGCCAGAACCAGTTTGACAGGTAAACTCTAGCAAAATGGATGCAGTTGAGCACAGTTCAGACACACCAGAGGGTCTGACTAGGCACTTATAAATGAGAGGTTTAGATTTCAGCTATAGATTTTTTTCATCTTTCATTGTAGATAATTGGGAGTGGACTCATGGGGAAATCCATTATCCATTTAAATCTACAACACAGTACAACACAATAAAGTAAATGTGCTGTTAAATACTGGTATTCACTTTTTTGCTTGATTAGCAAAGTAGGCCCATAAAATGCTGAATTAGCTATCTGTATTGTATTCATATTTGACTGAGTTATAACTTTAACATCCTTGGGAGACTTTTGGCTTTCTTTTTCTGCTTTGTCTTGCTTCATTTCCATAGTTATTACAGAACAAATTCTGTAAATCTGCAATGGTTAAAATACCATCTGGAATTATGTATGAAATTACAGAAGAGCACAGTCAATATGTCATTCACTACCTCTCCCTGTAATGTTAATCATGTCCAAATGGGGCTTTTGTGTTACATATAAAAGTGTATTCAATCAGATGTATTTGCATCATGGAGAGAGAAAGAGAGAGGTCATAGATAAATAAATGAATAAACAACATCCAGGGTAGTTTGACAGTCAGATAAGATGAACAATATCATATTAGTAGCATGTTTGTGTACATGTGTTAACATATATACATATCCATCCAGTTAATCACAAGACAAACACATTCTTAAGTCTACATTCGCTTACATTCTGGCACAAGTAAAGATCTGGTGAACTGGTGAAGTATGAGCAGTCCTGACTGCAGTCTCCCTATAAACTGTCACTGGATTACTGTAGCCCCTTCTTCACAGCTGAACTCGAAATGGGGGGATTGTTGTTCCACCTTAATGTAGGCAGCAGTTGTCAAGGGGCTGAAAAGATGTTTGTGAAAAGGGAGAGCTGGCATGGCAGGACAGATGCCAACAGACACACAGCAATGCTTTGATCTGCAATCCAGGTTATCTGATGTGTGATTTGGCAGCAATTAATTATTGAAGTGATACTCAATTTTATTAAATGCATATTCAAATTTTATTCAAAATAATGAAGCTTTACAATACATATACACTCACCAGCCACTTTATTAGGTACACCTTGCTAGTACCGGATTGGACCTTCAGAACTGCCTTAATTCTTCGTAGCATAGATTCAACAACGTGTTGGCAACATTCCTCAGAGAATTTGGTCAATATTGACATGATAGCATCACGCAGTTGCTGCAGATTTGTCGGCTGCACATCCATGATGCAAATCTCCTGTTCCACCACTCAGAAGTGCTCCATTGGATTGAGATCTGGTGACTGTGGAGGCCATTGGAGTACAGTGAACTCATTGTCATGTTCAAGGACCAATTTGAGATGATCAATCAATCAATCAAATTTTATTTATAAAGCCCATATTCACAAATCACAATTTGTCTCATAGGGCTTTAGCAAGCTGTGACATCATCTGCCCTTAACCCTCAACAAGAGTAAGGAAAAACTACCAAAAAAACATTTTAACAGGGAAAGAAAATAACGTAGAAACCTCAGAGAGAGCCACATGTGAGGGATCCCTCTCCCAGGACAGACAGAAGTGCAATAGATGCCACGTGTAATGGAGAACATCAGAGAAATAGTAGAGTAATTACAGCATTTGTTAGAGTAAATAGTTTGGAGCATCATGGAAGGTAAATTAATTGAGGAATTATTGTCAGTAATGGTTGAGTATCTGAGGAGACATATTGGATGTCAAGCAGTCTTGTTGTAGTCATAGTCCATGATCAGCTGCCACCACGATCAGGATACACCAATATGATCAGATGCCAGCTCGATATGATGATGTGAGCTTTGTGACATGTTGCATTATCCTGCTGGAAGTAGCCATCAGAAGATGGGTACACTCTGGTCATAAAGGGATGGACATGGTCAGCAACAATACTCAGGTAGGTTGTGGCATTTAAACAATGCTCAATTGGTACTAGGGGGCCCAAAGTCTGCCAAGAAAATATCCCCCACACAATTACACCACCACCACCAGCCTGAACTGTTAATACAAGGCAGGATGGATCCATGCTTTCATACTGTTTATGCCAAATTCTGACCCTACCATCTGAATGTCGCAGCTGAAATCGAGACTCATCAGACCAGGCAACGTTTATCCAATCTTCTATTGTCCAATTTTGGTGAGCCTGTGCGAATTGTAGACTCAGTTTCCTGTTCTAGCTGACAGGAGTGGCACCTGGTTTGGTCTTCTGCTTCTCTGAGTTACTGTTGCCTTTCTATCATCACGAACCACTCTGCCCATTCTCCTGTGACCTCTGACATCAACAAGGCATTTTCGTCCACACAACTGCCGCTCACTGGATATTTTCTCTTTTTCAGACCATTCCCTCTCAGTAAACCCTAGAGATGGTTATGGGTAAAAATCAGCAGATCAGCAGTTTTTGAAATTCTCAGACCAGCCCGTCTGGCACCAACAACCATGCCATGTTCAAAGTCACTTAAATCCCCTTTCTTCCTCATTCTGATTTGAACTTAGGCAAGTCGTCTTAACCACGTCTAGATGCCTAAATGCATTGAGTTGCTGCCATGTGATTGGCTGATTAGCTATTTGTGTTAACAAGCAATTGAACAGGTGTGCCTAATAAAGTGGCCAGTAATAGCAGCTTACTGTCATCAATGTGTGCATTGTAAAGCTTTAAAGAAGTTCAAGTAGAACCAGATTTCTGTTGATGATTTCCTACATGATTTTATCATTTATCAATATCCCCAAAAACATTGTATCTATGAGCAACACAGATCTTTTTGTAGGAAATATGATGATAGATGGGGAGTAATTGTCTCATATGTCATATATGACAAGATTACAATTAGCACCCATGCAAATCTGAAACATCCAGTTGTTCTGTTTCTGGATTTTTTTAATCTTTTGAAAATTAGAATATCATACATGACATTAATTGCATTGTTATTCTACACATCACTGTTTTGAAATTATGAAATTTGAGTTTCCCCTGCTTCTGAATAATTCCTCTTTTTGCATGTGAGTAAACTGCTGTCATTACAGTATGTTATTACAGTCATCCACATTGTGCATGTAAAAGCATAAAGAATTTCTTGTGTGCCAGATGTCATCATGAAATTTCCTTGACTGTCACGTTTGTTGTCACTCCCTCTCTCTTTCTCTCTCTCTTTCCCTGCCTCCCTCCTTACTTGAAAAGGGCCTCCCTGGAAAGCCAGACATGGTTCTGCTGGATGGTCTTCCAGGAGAAGAGTAGGAGGAGCAACAGCATGGAGACACTGAGGACTGTGGTGCCCCAGCGGCCTACCACCGCACACAACCGACCCATGCCATGAGCCACCAAGATACAGTAGCCCATACTAGAGAAAAAGGGAGAGTGGAAGTAAGAAAGGGGAAAGGAGGAAAATGATAAGAAGGTTTGGGAGGAACAATGAAGGAGGAAAAGAAAGCAAAGATATGGATAGGAGGGAGGGTGAGAGACAAAGCAAACATTTATTGTTAAGTCCTATATCCTGTATGACCTCTAGTGAAGTCCTACTGTCTGTAGCATACTCCTCTTTAGACCAATGTGATATAACCTAATGGCCTAAAATCTCTTTATGTTTCATTGCTGCATATATTTTCACCACATTTGGCCTGCTGTGGGCTCTCAAAAAAACATGATCTCCACCCCTTTCCGCAAATTCTCTGACCCTGTTACAGGGTTGTGTTATATTAGGGAACACACAAAGTGAAGTGTATCCAAGTACTTTTGATTGTAATTCATGTAAAACAACTTCCTTACTTACCATCAATAAGCAGTAATTAGAAGGTTATTAAGGGAAAACTGTTAATCAATGGAGTAGTTGCAGAATAAGGTCATTAAGAATAAGGCATTAATAAGTGCTTTATAATGACTAATAAAGAGCCAATATGCCTCTAATATCCATGCTAATAAGCAACTAGTTAATGGTTGATATGTGTTCCCTAATATAAAGTGTTACCATATGCTGTATATTACATTATATCTGTACATTAAGAAAAGAGTGTCTGACTAATTCCACATATACTCCCTTCTCTCTCTAAGCAGTACCCAAGGTCAGGTTAAAGATAAAGGACCAACCAACAGGGCATTGTAGTGTCAACGCTTAGGGACTTTTATATCTAATTAAGATGCCCCAGACAGAGAGGCACCAACTTCAACTCTTTTGCATATTACACCAGTGGCAAGACATAAAGACACAATGTGATTTAGGAATGCATATTTAGACTTAAATATACAATAGGATGCTAACACCTACATGTAACATAGAGAGTGACAGCAATTCTAGCCATTCATTGATGTGCTGTTAGAAGCACAAGTAGAGGAAGATATATGAGGATGCTGTGGGAGACATCTTTAGACTTGGGGGTGACAACTGCTTATGTTACTCTGTTAGCATTTGTATATTATTGCACCTTCTGGTCTCCTTGATGCATCAAGGCTACATTAAAATCATTTGCATAAAACATCAGCTGCTGCCTGTGTTCTCCTTTCACCAGCTTCCAGAAAATTTCCATTACAGGTTGGAAAATGTGTTATGTTAATTCTACTTTTCTTTAGTAAAAATGTAAATTATAGAAAATAAGGTTGTTGCATTATGCTATTTTTGATGACATGACCAACTTACATATCAAATAACATGGTTAAAATAAGCTATCAATCTTGCACACATTGTGCACTTTTTGGTTTCAATTTTACACATGTGGATAAACCTTTTGGTTTGTATAAGTGACTAATTTCTCTTTCTTTTTTCTCCACAGACATTCATGTGGCAGTCCAAACAGTGCAAGACAGTAGCTTCATTATGGTTTCTACTATTGAAGCACTACAGGTTAGCTCATGGCCATTTTGGCCACAGACACCAGTACCCATGTGCATATTCTCATTGCCCTTTTGTTTTCAAAACATGAAATGCTCTTCATAGTCACTTAAGCAGATTTCATGCTAATAAAACTGTGCAAAAATCTTTGAACGGGGTTACCTTTAACTTTCATTTGTGTACATGCAGTGACATAGTTTCAGCACAAGAATGAATTTGTCACATCAACAACCACCTAAAGAGTCATGAAACGCTGCAATGTATGCTTGAAGGATGTTCTTTTCAGACAAATGTTTATGGTACTTTTAACTCACATAAAAATAGGAAGCACAAACCATATACTGTGGATTTTAAATTGGGCATTGTAAAAACGATTGAACCTCAAACTTCAACTGATGGCACAGTGGATGATAGAATCTCATAATATGGTAACAGCAACGCAGATTCTTATGGCGATAGTGAAATTGACACAGAACCCGAGGATTTGCCAAAAACCATGGAGCTGAAATTTGCATCTCTTTTATTAAAATTGGAAAACAATTTCCACGTTCCAAGCACAGCAATTGTTGAACTGCTTACAGAATTGCATTTTTTTAATAAGCACTGCATCTGTACCTGTATCAAACAAAGTCATTCTAGATACCTTTAAGAATCAAAACCTCTGTGTGGACCAGCTGGTGATTAAAGAACTGACTAATTCATTATCTTCTTTTAACCCTTTGTTAAAAGCTGCAGCAAAGAGTAGGTACTGCTTTCAGAAGGAGACAGTATTATAGGGAAGATTTTGATGTGGTTGATGCAATTGAATACATACTCGAGTCGCAAACAAAATGGTCTTTGCATTATGTTCCCATATTGAAATAATTATGGCAGTTACTCAAACTGAGGGACATAATAAATAAAGTTGTTGATAGTCATGCAGGGCAGCATTCAGTAAAGCAGGAGAAGTATATATCTTATCAAGATGGTCATCATTTTCTGAACAGTGATTTTCTATCTGGTGAGGAAAACCTGCCACCATTCATCTATCGCCTCGGTTTATCTTGCATTGTTATGTAAAAGTGATGATATAAAGACCTCTGGCTGTCAGAAACTATTACAGCCCCTTTTGCATGACCTTATCACTTTAGAGCAGGAAGGGGTGTTCATTGACCATCTAGGAGCATTTATTAAAGGCACAGTCCAGTGTGTAGTTAGTCTTGGAGCTCAGGGATTGGCTGGTTTTGTGGAAAGTTTTTCTGGAGAGTAGATTTTGTACTGTGTAATGGGAATTTTTACATTTGTGAATGTTTAATTGCATTAGCAGACATGTATGTGGAGGACTTACCAAATGGTTCACCAAATTGTTTATCTGAAAGGGCAACCTTAAGGTTTACGATGGTGGCTTAAGAGACTTGAGTTGTATGGCCTTGAGAAACCAAAACTTTATGGTATCTCTTGGTATCTCTGATTGGGATCTCACACCTGGGGTCTCACAGGGGGGGGTCATCCACAGAACATGTAAACAAATGGACAGTATGTCTCCTCCACTGAGTGAAACTAAAGGAGGGTAATAAATACATTTGAATGCTTAGTGGGAGGGGGCAGAGAGTTATAAGAACACAGATTCTCCTGTGTTCTTTGCTCATTTGTGCATGTCATTCAGGTGACGTGTACTGATGAGTCCATCTGCAGATGCTGAATTAAACTTTCAGAAAGAAGTGTTTGACTTTGTGCTTGTTTCACAGAAATTGCCACCACAACTGCCACATGTACAGAGGTTCAGTCAAAAGAAGTAAAAACTGGGGAATTTCAACTCAGAACTGAAGAGCTGCATAGTGTACATTGACGTGGCACTTGAAGAAGGAAAACATGGTTATGGTGTGAAAAAAAAAGTGTTTTAGCTGAAAGCCGTTCCCACTTTAAGTTACTTCAGGCTTCCCCTTTGATGTTGCTCATGATCTCTTCGAGGGCATAGTGCCTGTTGAGCTAGCTGAATGCTTTGGAGTTCTAATAACCAAGAACTATTTCTCTTTTGATACTCTAAATCAGATGATTCAGACTTTTCCATACAAATGGAGAGACAAGACTAATTGCCCTCATTTGTTACCAGTTTGGCAATGCACACGAGAATTGGTGTCGTTTGCACTATTACTCACTCCTGTAAGGAGTTGTGGGGTTACCATGGTAACAAGGGCACCGGGAGGGGTTGAAAGCGGATGTTTTGCTGAACATCTCTGTAGTAGCAAAAGTTTATAAATAAACGCACATCTAGAGGGGGAGAAAACGAGAAATCTGAGTTCTTTATCCCATCAACTCCTACAGTTATATATTCCCAGAAAGAAGACTGCTACCAAAACATCACGTTCTGGAACATTATCCAGCTCATCCAAGGGAGCCTAACCACTACAGACCAGTTGCCTTTACCTCTCACATGATGAAAACCATGGAGAGGATTGTGCTAAACCACCTATGGACCCTTACAAGCTCTGAACTGGATCCCCTGCAGTTTGCTAGCGTCCGGGCATCGGTGTAGACGATGCAGTCCTGTACCTGCTGCACAGATCCCTCTCTCACCTAGACACCCCTGGGAGCACTGTGAGAGTCATGTTCTTTGACTTCTCCAGTGCTTTCAACACCATCCAACCTGCACTACTAAGGGGGAAACTGAGAAGAGGGGGAGTGGACCACAATCTGGCTGCATGGACCTCGGACTACCTCACAGACAGGCCACAGTATTTTAAGCTTCATGACTGTGTCTGATGTTGTTGTCTGCAGCACAGGGGCCCCTCAGGGAACTGTTCTTTCCCCTTTCCTGTTCACCCTGTATACCTCAGACTTCAGGTACGACTCGGAGTACTGCCACATCCAGAAATTCTCCACAACACAGCCATTGTTGGATGTGTATCTGATTCTGATGATCAGGAATACAGGGGGGTAGTCAGGGACTTTGTCAGGTGGTGTGAGGCCAACTACCTCTACATCAACACAACCAAGACTAAGGAGAAGGTGATCGATTTCTGCCGGAAGGCCACACAAACATCACCTGTGATCATCCAGGGTTTGGACATTGAGACTGTGGTGGAGTACAAATACCTGGGTGTTCACCTTAACAATATACTGGATTGGTCTTCTCACATAACTGCCACTCACAAGAAGGGTCAAAGTCGCCTCCATCTTCACAGTGTGCAGTGCGCACATCATGTGCAATATTCATATTCAATCATCAGATGTGTTGTGCAATACTTTTTGAATTATTACATCCAATGTATATTTCCAATTCCCATGTGCAATCACTGTGAATTTCTGGTATCCTTGTATAGTGTTTACATTTTTCTTTATATATATACATATACCGTAAATTACCAAATAATAGCCGGGTTTCAATTAACTGCAGGCTACCCTTAAATGCCGGGTGCAGGTGTATATTTTGATAAATAACCACCGGTTCCAAATAAATGTGGGGTCTAATTTATTTTTTTAAAAATCCAGGAAGACGTGACCACTGACGCTGCACGTTTTTTTTCTTCACCTTTTTCATGTATTGTGCTTGCTTTCTGATGATCGCCATGGTTCCGGTGCAGCAAAAAAAAAGAGTACGACTTTTCAAACATTCTGTCATAAAATATGCAGAGGAAAACTCGGGGTAAGCAGCCGCGTCTGTCGACCCCAAGAGAGTGAGGGATTGGCGAAAAAATAAAACTGAGCTTCAGCGTCTGTCCATGGAGGACAGCAAAAGGGCCAGGCTGCCTGGTGGAGGTAGGAAGAAGGCTAGCGAGGAGCTTGAGATAAACATGCGGGAATGGGTTATCAGCAAACGGGCACGCCACAAGAGAGTTTCTGCAAAATGATCAGGGCGATGGCGAAACAAATGTACGCCACCGTGAGTGACAGCAGAGATGAGGAGTTTGCCGCGGGTGCTGGTTGGCTTAATAGTTTCCTATGCCACAGCAACTTCACTTGCAGAAGACGTACAACTATTGCCCAGAAGGATTTTGTGAGGAAGAAATCACCGCCTGGTGATTGAAACAAATAAACGCCCGGGCTAGTATTTGGTAATTTACGGTAAGTATATTTGTTTTTCTCTGGAGTTTTACTTTTAGAATCTAGCATTCTTAGTTTTTGATGAATATGTTTTAATCTTGGGGAGGCAAAACTTATTACTTAATTTGCCCTCTTAAGAAGGCTTTAAAAGCTCCCCATCTAGTACTGGCTGAGGTCTGTGTTGTGTTTAATTCACAAAAGATATTTATTTTTTGCTAATGGCCTCTATAATGGGGTGGCTGTGGCTGAGGGGGTAGAGCGGTCGTCCTCCAACCAGAAGGTCGGAAGCTCGATCCCCAGTCTTCCCATCTGCATGCCAAAGTGTCCTTGGGCAAGATACTGAACCCCAAAACTGCCCAATAGAACATCAAAAAAAAAGAAAAGCCTTTTGCCTGCTAATTTTTTTGGTTGTCTTTGTTTTCTATCGTTGTGTTGTTATTGTAAAGCGTCCTTGGGTGTCCTGAAAGGCGAAAGAAGAAAAACGTGCAGTGTCAGTGGTCTCGTCTTCTTCTTTGATTTAAAAAAAAATTAATTAGACACGGCATTTATTTGGAACCGGCGGTTATTTATCAGAATATACACCTGCACCAGGCGTTTAAAGGGGACCCTGCGGTTAATTGAAACCCAGCTATTATTTGGTAATTTACAGTATGTATATATATGACAGTTCAAAAAACCCACATCAGAAACTATGACTACATAAAGATTGATACAACAAAATATCTGTGGAAAGAGCAAACCAGGGAGAAAAATCAGGAAAGCTTCTGGCCTGGTTAATCAAACAGCTGGAATCAGAAAATATGATGGGTGAAATGACTGTCGAGCCTAGAGAGATAAATGACACCTTCAGAAATTTTCAGAATATCCACCCAACTCAAACGTACGTTTTTTATAATTTGAAATACCGATGCATTTTAAATGAAGTCAAAACCTGCCTAGATTCTGGACTGACAAAGGAGGAAATTATAGCTGCAGTTGATTCCACGAGTACTGGCAAGACAGCTGGCCCTGATTTTAAATTTAAAAGTAAACTCCTAACTCCAATTATGGAACAGTTCCAAGAATCTTATGAAAGTGGTTCACAACCTCATTCATTAAGTGGAGCTTATTATTGTGCTGGATCAAAATGGATTTGTAAAAGGCTGACAAGGCTTCCATAATGTATGGAGAGTTTTTTTATATACAACATGAAAGGAAAGAAGGCTCTACTATTACTTCATGCCGAAAAGACGTTTGACAGAACCAAATGGCCTTTTTTATCTTCAATATTAGAACCGTTTGGTTTCATGACATCCCTCTGTAAATGGATAAAAAATAATGTACACTCAACCCACACCAAAAATTCTGACTAACAATCTTATCTCTCAACCATTTAATATCAATAGGGGGGTGCGACAAGGATGCCCTTTGTCTCTGCTATTTACATTAGCCATAGAACCTTTCACAATAGCATTTAGGACACACAAGAGTATCTCTGGTATTAAACTGGGACAGATAGATCATCGCATAGCTCTATTTGCAGATCAGTTCATCTTATTCCTTACAGATTTAGCAAATTCAATCCCAGCCTTGATGGATATAATTAAGACCTATGTAATATTTTCAGGCTAGAAGATACACAATGCAAAATCTTCTTCAATGTTATTTAATGGAAAAGAAAGATCCAATCCTATGGTTCATATTTTTTTATTCAACTCCACAGACTTACTTATCTAGGTAAATTAATTTAAACCAGAGAAAACAGAACAAGGCTTCCATCTTTGGGCCATGTTTGGATATTTTCAAAGATGAAAACCTTATGTCATTTGAACAGTTATGCACTAAATATGACCTTTGGAATACCCACATCTTTAAATACTTATAGGTGAAAAGTTTTATAACTACATCCCGTAATTAATTATTGACTCCTCCTCTCTCTAAAATGGAAGATTAGTCTCTGATAACTGTCATGCTAAAGGGTATATTTCAGCATTGTACAACATGTTGGTTTCTAACTCATTTGAATCCTCAATGGACAGACTCAAAGCTTGGAAAGAGGATATACAGGAGGATATTTCCTTCGATGACTGGGGTGGGATATGTGCGGCACACAGACAAACAGCAAGTACCAGAATAAGACTGATACAACACAATTGGCTGATGCTCACCTGCATAACACCAGCTAGACTACACCAATTCAATAATAACATTGCAGATACCTCTATTAATCTGTATTATTATGTCTACTCAGATACTCTTCCATCATGCTACAAACTATTTACTCTAACCAATGCTGTAAATACTATTTTTCTGACGTTCTCCATTACACATGGCTTCTATTGCACTTCTGTCCATCCTAGGAGAGGGATATGAGGGGATATGTGGCTCTCTCTGAGGTTTCTACGTTCTTATTCCCCTGTTTAAAGTTTTTTTTTTAGTAGTTTTCCCTTACTCTAGTTTATGGTTAAGGGCAGAGGATGTCACAGCTTGTTAAAGCCCTATGAGACAAATTGTGATTTGTGAATATTGGCTATACAAATAAAATTTGATGAAGATTGATGTTAAATGCAAACAGTCAAAAGGCACTCTATTTCACTGCACGTGGTTCATACCCTCCCACCCTAGCCATTTCAAGGAATAAACAAAGACTTATAGATATGTGTCTACATCAAGCTAAGCACTTCATCACCTTATCATGGAGGAGTCAACACAAGCCACAAATGGGCCAATCGCTGAGGGATGTGGGAAATTGCTGCGCTGTGGAGAGGATTTCATATGTTCCGAAAATAAATGTTTATTATTATCACTATTATTTTATAGTTTTATCTTGTTCTTTTCTGCTTAGCCTCATTTGTTTTTTCCTTTTTGTGTATCTGTATGGGTGTGTATGTATGTGTGTTTATATGTGTTTATGAGTGTGTGTGTGTGTGTGTGTGTAAATGTATGTATGCATGTGAATGTGCTTGTATGCGGATGTCTTTTGAACCTTGTTATCTAATATTCAGAAAAAAATAACACATATATAATGATGTAATACATAATTTGTGTGTTTACTCATGGAATTTCAGAAAACCTGCAATACAATGAATAAATTACCTAATGTAAATGATTAGCTGAACACATTTCATAGTGATATCAATTAGTTGAAATGTGTACCCTATTTACCCACAGTGAACAGTACAATTGTAGAAGAAGCAAGAACTGAACAAGTATCTAATGTGTTTTGGAAAAACTGTAGACGTTGATGATCTCTTGGTGATTGTTTTTTTTTTTAAAAACAAGACAATATCAAACAAAGCAATATGTATTGCTATATATTTTAAATCATTATACAAGAGTGAGACTAGAACTATCCATACATACTGTTGTTGCCCACATGAACACGCTCACCTCGGCATGTAGAGAACCCTTTCGGCCACAACAAATCCAACCCTGAAGAAAAGGTTACTGGCAGGAATGAATGGAAACACCAGAAACAACACTCCAACCAACACCTCCCTGCTCTCTTGTCTCTGCAAAGAGAGAAAAGGGAAAACGTTATAAACAAGACAAACACAGATTGTTCTGAAGCATAGGTTGTTTGGGGACCTAGCCAGCAGGGGCACTGCTCAAACTTTGCTGAGTAAAGCTACACTTTTAGAACACATAACACATACAGGCTGCGTTCGGAAAGTTATTTTTACAAAGATGCAGAAGTATTTCAGTGGCTCCCAGCTGTTCCAATTCTGTAAATGATAAGGGACCATCCTTTATTAAAAGAAAGGAGAAGATCCCCCCCCACACTTCTTGGCGTTAACAACATTTAAAGCGACGCAACCTAGTATTTGCACCTGGACACACCTACGTAAATATAACAGCTGTTTTATTCTCCTGACACGATCCAGAACTGGTGTGAATTCTTAGGATTGTCTGAGCTCCTGATTTCTTCTTCACATCTGTCCAGTGAACAACAAGCTGATTGAACTTTTAGTTCACAATTTCATCATCAGAACTAAATACTTATCGTTGTTTAAATCTCCTGATTGTGGAATGGACACTGGGTCTGGGTGAACTCTGTGACTGAGAGATGCCCAGATTCACAAATGAATTTATTAGTCTAATTGTAAATTGGATTTGAGGGTGATTTGTTCATGTTTACATTTTTAGGCCATGTTTTGTGCCTAAGTTAAGAGAAGGAAGGAATATCCAACCACTATTTTCTCCATGGTGATGTCTTCTCCTTTAATATGCATTTCCATTATTTACCGGCCTCCCTATAAAACAGTGCTTTCCAATAAAAGGGGA